TGCCCACGCTGCCGCCACCGCACGGCCAGGTCTTCCGGCCTAGCCACCCCTTCGAGCGCTACGACGCAGAGTATATCCAGCAGTTCCTGTTCGAGCAGCCGCCTCAGGGCGAGGGCGGCCAGATGCCTGTGGTTTTGGTGTGGGGCATTTTGCCCCTGGACACTGGCGACCCCCTGGACCCTCGTAGCAACAGCTCACTGGTCAGGGACCCTGGCTTCTTAGCCAGTGGCCCCGAGGCCCAGCGCTGGCTGCTGGCACTGTGCCACCGGGCTCGGAATCAGAGTTTCTTTGGTGCCCAGCCGGAGGGCTGGCCCACGCTGTGCTTTGTGGAGGCCCTCCAGAGTTGGATGGAAAGCCCTAGCTGTGCCCGCCTGGGGCCTAACCTCTGCTGTGGCTACTCAGGCTTCCCCTGGGCCCCCCAGCTTTTCCTGCACTGCCTCAAGATGATGGCTCTGGAGCAAGGTCCCCATGGCACCCGTGACCTGGGACCCCGCTTTGATGCCCATGGCAGCCTGGCTGCCCTCGTCCTGCAGTTCCAGACCAACTTCCAGTACAGTCCAGAGTATGGCCAGGTCCACCACTTCTACACTGAGGTCAGCCGCTGGCAGGCAGCAGAGCTGGCCATGGCACCTCCAGGCCTGCGGCACGGTTGGTTCACCAGCCGTCTGGAGCTGTACAGCCTGCAGCACAGCCTGAGCACTGAGCCTGCCGTGGTGCTGGGCCTGGCTCTGGCACTGGCCTTTGCTACCCTGCTGCTGGGTACCTGGAATGTTCCGCTCAGCCTGTTCTCCGTGGCAGCTGTGGCAGGCACTGTCCTGCTCACTGTGGGACTCCTGGTTCTCCTGGAGTGGCAGCTCAACACTGCTGAGGTCCTCTTCCTCTCGGCCTCCGTGGGCCTCTCGGTAGACTTCACTGTCAACTACTGCATTTCCTACCACCTGTGCCCACACCCGGACCGCCTAAGCCGCGTGGCCTTCTCGCTGCGCCAGACCAGCTGTGCCACGGCAATGGGGGCCGCAGCCCTGTTTGCAGCCGGCGTGCTCATGCTGCCCGCCACCGTGCTGATCTATCGCAAGCTGGGCATCATCCTCATGATGGTTAAGTGCGTCAGCTGTGGCTTCGCCAGCTTCTTCTTCCAGTCTCTGTGCTGTTTCTTCGGGCCAGAGAAGAACTGTGGGCAGATCCTCTGGCCCTGTGCCCACCTGCCTTGGGATGCTGGAACTGGGGAGTCCAGTGGGGAGAAGGCAGGCCGCCCACGACCAGGGCCAGTGGGAGGGGCGCCTGTGTCCTGCTCGGAGCACTATGAGCTACAGCCCCTGGCCCGGCGCCGGAGCCCCAGCTTTGACACCAGCACAGCCACTAGCAAGCTGTCTCACCGCCCCTCAGTTCTCTCAGAGGACCTGCAACTACACGATGGCCCCTGCTGCTCCCGGCCCCCACTAGCCCCTGCCTCCCCAAGGGAGCTGCTCCTGGACCACCAGGCCGTCTTCAGCCAGTGCCCAGCCCTGCAGACCTCCTCCCCCTATAAGCAGGCTGGGCCTAGCCCCAAAACCCGGCACAGGCAGGGCTCCCCAAGGGAGGAGGCTGAGCCCCC